CCAATGTGTAGCATTTAGGCTAATAGAAAAAAATTTTTTTTTGTCATCCAATTTAACCCGAAGATTTTAAACATTTCCCTAATTTAAGGAAAAACAGCCGTAACGGCCAAGGAAATTTAAATCAAAGCGAGAAACTCTAGTAGGAAGAAGTTATCCCAAAGGTTTCACTCAGAAGACAAAAAGTTTCCTTAAGATTCTAATAGAACTGAAAAATAAACATTTTTTTCATTGGTACTGAAATTACTTTGCCTAAACCCAGGATTGAACCAGGGACCTTTAGATCTTCAGTCTAACGCTCTCCCAACTGAGCTATTTCGGCCATATTGAAGTTGATTTTCTTGCCTAAAAATAGTTACATGTGGAAATGTCCCAACAGAAATAATTAACAAAACGATAAAGGTTCCCTATTTTCAAAAAACACTTTGGCCCATGTGGGGATCGAACCCACGACCTTGGCGTCATTAGCACCACGCTCTAACCAGCTGAGCTAACAGGCCCCAAAGCCTAGCATTTAGGCTAATAAATTTTTTTTTATGTCATCCAATTTAACCCGAAGAATTTAAACATTTCCCTAATTTAAGGAAAAACAGCCGTAACGGCCAAGGAAATTTAAATCAAAGCGAGAAACTCTAGTAGGAAGAAGTTATCCCAAAGTTTTCACTCAGAAGACAAAAAGTTTCCTTAAGATTCTAATAGAACTGAAAAATAAACATTTTCAACATTCTAAAAGAAATTGGTACTGAAATTACTTTGCCGAAACCCGGGATTGAACCAGGGACCTTTAGATCTTCAGTCTAATGCTCTCCCAACTGAGCTATTTCGGCCATATTTAAGTTGATTTTCTTGCTTGAAAATAGTTACATGTGGAAATGTCCCAACAGAAATAATTAACAAAATGATAAAGGTTCCCTATTTTCAAAAAACACTGTGGCCCATGTGGGGATCGATCCCACGACCTTGGCGTTATTAGCACCACGCTCTAACCAGCTGAGCTAACAGGCCCCAATGTGTAGCATTTAGGCTAATAGAAATTTTTTTTTATGTCATCCAATTTAACCCGAAAAATTTAAACATTTCCCTAATTTAAGGAAAAACAGCCGTAACGGCCAAGGAAATTTAAATCAAAGCGAGAAACTCTAGTAGGAAGAAGTTATCCCAAAGGTTTCACTCAGAAGACAAAAAGTTTCCTTAAGATTCTAATAGAACTGAAAAATAAACATTTTCAACATTCTAAAAGAAATTGGTACTGAAATTACTTTGCCGAAACCCGGGATTGAACCAGGGACCTTTAGATCTTCAGTCTAACGCTCTCCCAACTGAGCTATTTCGGCCATATTTAAGTTGATTTTCTTGCCTGAAAATAGTTACTTGTGGAAATGTCCCAACAGAAATAATTAACAAAACGATAAAGGTTCCCTATTTTCAAAAAACACTTTGGCCCATGTGGGGATCGAACCCACGACCTTGGCGTTATTAGCACCACGCTCTAACCAGCTGAGCTAACAGGCCCCAATGTGTAGCATTTAGGCTAATAGAAATTTTTTTTTATGTCATCCAATTTAACCCGAAAATTTAAACATTTCCCTAATTTAAGGAAAAACAGCCGTAACGGCCAAGGAAATTTAAATCAAAGCGAGAAACTCTAGTAGGAAGAAGTTATCCCAAAGGTTTCACTCAGAAGACAAAAAGTTTCCTTAAGATTCTAATAGAACTGAAAAATAAACATTTTCAACATTCTAAAAGAAATTGGTACTGAAATTACTTTGCCGAAACCCAGGATTGAACCAGGGACCTTTAGATCTTCAGTCTAACACTCTCCCAACTGAGCTATTTCGGCCATATTGAAGTTGATTTTCTCGCCTCAAAATAGTTACATGTGGAAATGTCCCAACAGAAATAATTAACAAAACGATAAAGGTTCCCTATTTTCAAAAAACACTTTGGCCCATGTGGGGATCGAACCCACGACCTTGGCGTTATTAGCACCACACTCTAACCAGCTGAGCTAACAGGCCCCAATGTGTAGCATTTAGGCTAATAGAATTTTTTTTTTTATGTCATCCAATTTAACCCGAAGATTTTAAACATTCCCTAATTTAAGGAAAAACAGCCGTAACGGCCAAGGAAATTTAAATCAAAGCGAGAAACTCTAGTAGGAAGAAGTTATCCCAAAGGTTTCACTCAGAAGACAAAAAGTTTCCTTAAGATTCTAATAGAACTGAAAAATAAACATTTTCAACATTCTAAAAGAAATTGGTACTGAAATTACTTTGCCGAAACCCGGGATTGAACCAGGACCTTTAGATCTTCAGTCTAACGCTCTCCCAACTGAGCTATTTCTGCCACATTGCAGTTGATTTTCTTGCCTCAAAATAGTTACATGTGGAAATGTCCCAACAGAAATAATTAACAAAACGATAAAGGTTCCCTATTTTCAAAAACACTTTGGCCCATGTGGGGATCGAACCCACGACCTTGGCGTTATTAGCACCACGCTCTAACCAGCTGAGCTAACAGGCCCCAATGTGTAGCATTTAGGCTAATAGAAAAAATTTTTTTTTATGTCATCCAATTTAACCCGAAGAATTTAAACATTTCCCTAATTTAAGGAAAAACAGCCGTAACGGCCAAGGAAATTTAAATCAAAGCGAGAAACTAGTAGGAAGAAGTTATCCCAAAGGTTTCACTCAGAGGACAAAAAGTTTCCTTAAGATTCTAATAGAACTGAAAAATAAACATTTTCAACATTCTAAAAGAAATTGGTACTGAAATTACTTTGCCGAAACCCAGGATTGAACCAGGGACCTTTAGATCTGCAGTCAAACACTCTCCCAACTGAGCTATTTCGGCCACATTGAAGTTGATTTTCTCGCCTCAAAATAGTTACATGTGGAAATGTCCCAACAGAAATAATTAACAAAATGATAAAGGTTCCCTATTTTCAAAAAACACTTTGGCCCATGTGGGGATCGAACCCACGACCTTGGCGTTATTAGCACCACGCTCTAACCAGCTGAGCTAACAGGCCCCAATGTGTAGCATTTAGGCTAATAGAAATTTTTTTTTATGTCATCCAATTTAACCCGAAGATTTTAAACATTTCCCTAATTTAAGGAAAAACAGCCGTAACGGCCAAGGAAATTTAAATCAAAGCGAGAAACTCTAGTAGGAAGAAGTTATCCCAAAGGTTTCACTCAGAAGACAAAAAGTTTCCTTAAGATTCTAATAGAACTGAAAAATAAACATTTTCAACATTCTAAAAGAAATTGGTACTGAAATTACTTTGCCGAAACCCGGGATTGAACCAGGGACCTTTAGATCTTCAGTCTAACGCTCTCCCAACTGAGCTATTTCGGCCATATTGAAGTTGATTTTCTTGCTTCAAAATAGTTACATGTGGAAATGTCCCAACAGAAATAATTAACAAAATGATAAAGGTTCCCTATTTTCAAAAAACACTTTGGCCCATGTGGGGATCGAACCCACACGTTATTAGCACCACGCTCTAACCAGCTGAGCTAACAGGCCCCAATGTGTAGCATTTAGGCTAATAGAAATTTTTTTTTATGTCATCCAATTTAACCCGAAAAATTTAAACATTTCCCTAATTTAAGGAAAAACAGCCGTAACGGCCAAGGAAATTTAAATCAAAGCGAGAAACTCTAGTAGGAAGAAGTTATCCCAAAGGTTTCACTCAGAAGACAAAAAGTTTCCTTAAGATTCTAATAGAACTGAAAAATAAACATTTTCAACATTCTAAAAGAAATTGGTACTGAAATTACTTTGCCGAAACCCAGGATTGAACCAGGGACCTTTAGATCTGCAGTCAAACACTCTCCCAACTGAGCAATTTCGGCCACATTGAAGTTGATTTTCTCGCCTCAAAATAGTTACATGTGGAAATGTCCCAACAGAAATAATTAACAAAATGATAAAGGTTCCCTATTTTCAAAAAACACTTTGGCCCATGTGGGGATCGAACCCACGACCTTGGCGTTATTAGCACCACGCTCTAACCAGCTGAGCTAACAGGCCCCAATGTGTAGCATTTAGGCTAATAGAAATTTTTTTTTATGTCATCCAATTTAACCCGAAAAATTTAAACATTTCCCTAATTTAAGGAAAAACAGCCGTAACGGCCAAGGAAATTTAAATCAAAGCGAGAAACTCTAGTAGGAAGAAGTTATCCCAAAGGTTTCACTCAGAAGACAAAAAGTTTCCTTAAGATTCTAATAGAACTGAAAAATAAACATTTTCAACATTCTAAAAGAAATTGGTACTGAAATTACTTTGCCGAAACCCGGGATTGAACCAGGGACCTTTAGATCTGCAGTCAAACACTCTCCCAACTGAGCAATTTCAGCCACATTGAAGTTGATTTTCTCGCCTCAAAATAGTTACATGTGGAAATGTCCCAACAGAAATAATTAACAAAACGATAAAGGTTCCCTATTTTCAAAAAACACTTTGGCCCATGTGGGGATCGAACCCACGACCTTGGCGTTATTAGCACCACGCTCTAACCAGCTGAGCTAACAGGCCCCAATGTGTAGCATTTAGGCTAATAGAATTTTTTTTTATGTCATCCAATTTAACCCGAAAAATTTAAACATTTCCCTAATTTAAGGAAAAACAGCCGTAACGGCCAAGGAAATTTAAATCAAAGCGAGAAACTCTAGTAGGAAGAAGTTATCCCAAAGGTTTCACTCAGAAGACAAAAAGTTTCCTTAAGATTCTAATAGAACTGAAAAATAAACATTTTCAACATTCTAAAAGAAATTGGTACTGAAATTACTTTGCCGAAACCCGGGATTGAACCAGGGACCTTTAGATCTTCAGTCTAACGCTCTCCCAACTGAGCTATTTCAGCCATATTTAAGTTGATTTTCTTGCCTGAAAATAGTTACATGTGGAAATGTCCCAACAGAAATAATTAACAAAATGATAAAGGTTCCCTATTTTCAAAAAACACTTTGGCCCATGTGGGGATCGAACCCACG